CTCTGGTGTCTAGGCACCACGGCGCGCTGCTGCGCTGGCTGGAAGAGCGGCTGGGCCGCGGCGAAGAGTCCGTCACCTTGGAGCAGTTCCGGGAGCTGCTGGAGGCTCGTGGCGCCGCCTGCTCGGGCGAGCAGTTCGAGGAGGTCAGGCCCGGCTGGCGACCGCGGGGGCGGGGGCAGGGCGGTCGCCCTCTAGGGCGTGAAGAGGTGGGCGGTGCGGCTCTAGACGGGCCAGGCAGGAACCCACAGGGTCCGCAAGTTCGGAGGATGGGAGCAAGGGGCGCTCGCTTCCAGCCCGGACACCCCGGGGGACGGCTGCGAATCTCTTTAACCTTTACTAGAGGTGCGGAAAGCCCAGACTAGGCCGTTCGTGCTTGGAAGAACTGGACAAGCCAAGCCCAGGTGTCTTTGCATGTGGTAGTACAGACATTTGTGCCCTGGCCTGACGCTTGATCGGTTGCTCTCTGGATCTCCCTTATCAGGCTCCGGGACAGTGTGAGGGAAGGGAGGCGTGTAGGGATCGAGGGAGTGGCAGTGAACACAGAAAACCATTCTGTTTTATTGACCAGAGCACCTTCCGAATCCAGTGTGGGCGTCTAACAAATGTGGGAGGAAAATGACACACAGTGGAAAATCTCACATCCCAGCAGCCGTTCTCACCGCACAAAAACTAGCATTTCCAAAGTACACGTTTGTTTCCAGAGAGTTGAAGAACCGTATTTTAGACTCCAGCCTCTGCGTAACCTAAAACTGAGAGACAAATGTCAGGTTTCCTGTAAATACTTGTAATTATACAGCCTTTGGCCCAAGTCACCAACATCATCTCTGTTAAATGGTTAACAGCAAATTGATATGACAACAATGTTGTTTCTTCAAAGAGATTTTAGGAATCACCTGTACGTTTCGTTGTGGAGTTAAAAAGAACTGAGCCAGGGTCGTCCACTGAGTCATTGGCAACCTGAGACTATCACTCAGATCCCTTGATTTTTCTGGTTTCTTTGTCTTACGTCCCACTGCCTTCTTCTTGGGACCCTATTTCTTCAACTCCACAGCGCTATGACCAAAAGATGCTTATTTTGTGAAAATGAGTAAGCCGTGTAAAATCTTCATTGTCGGTGAAGGGTGAGTATATAAAGCAGTAAACCGACAGCTAGTTGTAATGACGTTAGGAAGTGATGTACGCTTTACAACAAGAGGCTCTTAAAGTATTTTAAGAACATTGACTGTGTGTAGTCAGAATTCAGATACTGTGGTTTATGTGTTTCTTACATTTTCTTTCAGAAGATACCTGTAAGATACCTCAGTTCTTGACAATGTGATCATATTAGTTAGTGAAGGGTCTCCATGTATATATTTTCTTAATTCCAAGAGTTCACATAATACTTTCCACTCTAGCTCTCGGTGTATTAAGAGAAAATGAAGTGGTCCCAGAAGGGGCTGTGCAGATCAGTTGAAGGAGTTGGCACATTTCAGAATTGTCCAGAACGGAATGGAGGGAGAGCATTTACATTGAGAGTGACAGGAGTAGAGCTGTGAGTGGAGCTGACAGGAGCCCTGTAATGTAAGGTCAAGAAATCCTCAGGGTGTTGTCCAGAGGTCACTCGAGGGCTGTGGTATTGTTCACTGAGCAAATATTTGTTGAACATGTGCTGAGTGCCAGGCTCCTGGATGACTGTGGAAAAAGCAGATACTTGCTCTGAAAGGGTATTTAGTACTGAAGGAGACACACGTGAGCCCAGCAATTATAGGTGTGGTGAGTATTAGCCAAAGGAAAGTGTAGGGAAAAACATTGCAAGAGTATTTAATCTCCTCTGGGAAGTCAAGGAAAACTTATGTGGAGGGTGACATCTCAGCTCAGAGTCGAAGGGTGAAAGCGGGCAAGGATGAGAAGAAGGGTTAACCGTGTTTCAGGCAGAGGGAATCACGTGCACCGAAGTCCAGAGAATGGAGAGTCTGGAAGAATAGGGTGACGAATGAGGCTTAGGCAAAACTGCCTCAAGGGACAGAGAAGCCCGTGCGTTGGTGGTTTAAATAGTACACAGGCTTCATGTGGGAAAGGCCAGGTGGGTAGTCCAGCTTTGACGTGGCAATTTCAGTCATCGGGGACCTGGCTCCATCCATCTTCCCGTGCTGTCGTCATCCACAGGCACCTTTTACTTAGTGACCCAAATGATGCCTTCCGCTGTCACTTTGCACATTATGCCAGCAGGAAAGGGAAAAGGGAAGGAGAGGGCCATATCTCCTTTCTTAAGGGCAGGGCTCGCATCCCATTGGCTCAAGCCCAGTGATATGGCCACGCTTAGCTGCAAGGGAGGCTGGGAATAGGCGAGATTTTTATTTCATGGCCATGTAATTTGCTGGAAAATAAGTATGTAATTACTGTGAAAGAGGAGAGCAGATATCACGTTATAATTAGTAGTCTTTGACTCACGTGGCTCGGTTCCTGAATGCTGAAGGAGAGAGCAAGGCTAGAGGAGTAGGCAGGAATCAGCCCATGGGGAGTCCTTTGCAGCCTCTGTGAAATAGGAGTTTGGAAACGAGTTTTAAGCAGGGTACGTGATGGTTGTGGCTTCCTTGTGTAGAACTGGTTGGAGAAGTGGATCCAAGCAGATCAGTTGTAGGCCATTATGAACAATTTTGAGAGGTGTGTAGGAAGTAGGACAAGCAGTCCTGAGTCTGAGTGGAGGATTGGAAGGAGACAGGAATCAAGGATGACCCCAGCATTACTGGTTTAAGCAGTCAGAAAAGTGACAGTACTGTTTATTGACAACAGAAACCTTTTCAGGAGGGGACGATCAGAGACAAGATGAGTTTGGTTTGGCCATGCTGAGCTCAGTGTGTCCATGGGGCAGCTAAGTGGAGGTGTGTCTTAGCCTGTTGGGCGTTTGCGTCCGGAGAGTCCTGGGAGAGAAGACCTGCCTGAGATACAGGGTCATCTCCTTGTTCCAGTGAGGAAATTGCCGCATTATTGCCTCCTAGTCTGATGTATGTGATGTCTTTTCTTTCTTTTCCTTTCAGTGACCGAAAGTCAAAAATATTATGCTCGGTGAGGACTTAGATCCCTTCGAGGTGATCCATGGACCGTTGAGCATAGTTAAATCCGGAGGTCACTCCGCCCCTGTAACTGAAGAAATACCCGGGAGGAAAAACCGAATGGTTGTACCTTCCTGTTATGAAACACAAAGTCCCAGTAGCCACCTATGTGGCAAAAATAAACATTAAGGAGCTGTAAGCACAGCAGTAAGAACTGGTGACTTGTAAAATGTTGCAAGTTCTCGTTTTTATAAAAATCCCGGGTACCATCTAGGGCCGTGGCATAGAGCATTAAGTGTCCGTAGACCGAAGTCACAAGATACGTGTCGGGAAGTCTTTGTTCACCTCTGTGTAACTGTCTCCCTCCTTGTCTACAGTGTATTCAAACACTTGGTATCTGGTGACTTTGGCCAGCCATGCAGGGCCGGTGGGTGACAGCAGCCACCACACTGAGGAGGAGACTGAAGACTCTGTAGGGTTCAGGGACTCACCTAAGAAGATTGGAAATTACGTTTGGGTAGTGACACTCAAGTGTGAGTCTTCTGTCGCTGAAGCCTGTGCCCTTTCTCCTTCAAGGACCTGCTTCTCTGTGATTGTTATTCTGTAGTCTCATCATTCCTCTTAAGCTTTAATTCTTTTTTTGTTTTAATGTTGCATTTATTTTTGAGAGACAGTGTGAGCAGGGGAGGGGCAGAGAGAGGGGGGGACAGGGGACTCTGCGATGACAGCGGCGAGCCCGATGCTGGGTTCGAACTCACGAGCTGGGAGATCGCGACCTGAGTCAAAGTCAGACGCTCAGCCAACTGAGCCACCTAGGCGCCCCTAGCCTTAATTCTTTAATTCTCCCCTATGTGCTAAGGGAGGCCTGGCAAGGATAATTAAAATTTGAGAAAAAGCATGGTGTATTTTTCTTGAAGTCTATTTAGCTGTATTAGATTGGGTGTGGGGATAGTTGGGGCTTTGCTTGATACTAAAATCTGGTGACTTTCCCTCTGTACTGGTTAGCACTGGTTAGTGAAAGAGAGCAGGTCTGACTCTATGTGAAGGCTTATTCAGATTAGGGGGCGCCCTGGTGGCTCAGTCGGTTAAGCGTCCTACTTTGGCTCAGGTCATGATCTCGCAGTTCGTGGCTTCCAGCCCTGTGTCAGGCTCTGTGCTGACTGCTTGGAGCCTGGAACCTGCTTTGGATTCTGTGTCCCCCTCTCTCTGCCTCTCCTCCACTCACGCTCAGTCTCTCACTCTCAAAAATAAAAAAATAAAATAAAAACCTGACTGGGATAAGCTCACAGTGGTTGTTCTGTCCATAAGTACAGGGTAATCGTATTAGTAATATCCCAAGAGTTAAGTGTTAGCCACATATGTGATTCTGTGCTTTAAGGTAAGTCTGTCCTTTGAATTGAGTGTGGAGACATTTCTGTGTCTTAGTTAATTCTCCCCTTAAGCTGGTGAAAATGTATTCTGATACTTCCATACAAGTGTAAGGGTTTTTGTGAAAGAATAATAAAATGTCTTTGTGGTAGCAACTAAAATGATGAGTTATTTCTCTTCCTCGAGCACAGTGG